GGCTGCCCCTTCTCCTCTGCTTGGGGGAGGCAGGAGAGGAAGGTCAAGCAGGAGATGTGCTTGCTGTCCCCGAGGCTAGTTGGCAGCAGGGCACACACCTGTGCCTGTCTCACCTTACTGCAGGTGCAATGGAGGCTGAACCCCTTTCCTGGTCTCCTGCAGGTGTGGAATTCAGCCTTCTGGTGGGTGTCAGGGTGGGCTCCAGGCTCTCCTGGCCCTAGGGAACCCTGGGCTCCGTGAGGTCCTGGCCCAGGTGGGATTGTTTCCCACATTGTCACCTCCCCATACTGTCAGCTCCCCAAACATGGGACTGCGTGCTGTGCCCTGGGTGGGACATCGGAAGGAGTTCCACCTTCCAGGTTTAGATCCCAGTAGAGCCTCTGCCATGGGGATGTGGTGGCCGAGATAGATGGGATTGAACCAGCCCTGTCACTTGGGCCTTGGGAGAGTCGTCTGTGCCCTGCTTGCCTTTCCCCAGCAGCCGGAAGGGGTTAATAGCACCTATTTCATCCACACTTGAGTGCTCACTTGTTAGTGGGAACTGAGTCCTGGAGGAGGTGCAGGCAGAGCCACTGAGGCAGCACTGCAGTTCGACCTGGGTCTGAGTGCCAGCTCCTGGCTGTGAGATGCACCTCTCCCTCTGTTTATCCATCTGGAGGATAGGGCTGTGCCATTCTGGGCTCACTGTGACAATTCAGCTAGCCTGGGTGAGTTGGCGGTGGCCTGAGATGGGTTTGAGGTAGGCTGGAAGTGCGTCTTGCGTGTCCCCTTTCCCCCACGGGGAAGACCCACTTAGGGAAGCCTCACATGTCTGTGTGGAGGAACCCGCCTTCCCTGCCCCTCAGCTGTCATCTGTCCCTTCCCAGCCCCCTCTGCTGTCCTGCAGGCTCTGGTGGTGGCCGTCCAGCCTGGTGTCCATCTGGCTGGTCCACTCTTCCAGGCGGACCTCTCTCCTCATGTGGTGCAGTTGCCACTGTGGCACCTCCAGACAGGCCACACTCACCCCAGGGGCTCCCTTCCCTGCTGCGTGCCCCCCATGCCAGGTATGTGCCACCTCCCTAAAGCCCGCTGTGTTTGCCAGCTGGGTTTGAACTCTGTCTCTGTGTAAGGCCTCATGCAAAGCCTGAAACAGCCTGGGTTGCGGAGAGCCAGGAGACCAAAGCCTGAAGAGGGGGCAAGAGTCCTCCAGAGCCCACTTAGCCAGCCTCAGCATCAGGGCTCCGTCCATGCTGGCCCTGGCTCCAGTGAGCCAGTTCTCTCCCGTAATGCCTGCAAGGGCTCCTGTGGCGATGAGGTAGCTGGAGAGAACAAGGCTGCCATCACCCTCCCTCCCTGAGAAGGCCTCATGAGGCACGTTGTAGGCATCTGGGCATTCTGGGGGGCATCTTCCAGGGACCCTCCTGCACCCTGCTTGGTCCTGGCTCTCTAGTCAGAAATTGCGGGTGCTTGGACAGTGGGGTTGACCCAGGGCAGATGCATATGCAAGAGTGGTCTTCAGGGTGCTGGGGTGGGAGGAGGGGCGCTTCAGGGATAGAAAGGAGAAGGCTGTGCATTCCAGAAGTACAGAGGAACCGGCTGCTGGCCACAGTCAACCCCAACGTGGTGACCTTTCTACCCGCCGTCTCTGATGTCTTGGTGCTGCTGACCTCTGTCTTTGGCCATGTAAGCTCATGGTCTGGGCTCTGGGGGTCTCCTCACTGGGTCTGCACACACCTTGCAGGTAGGGGAGCCTTTGGGCCAGGACTTTCCTTGGCTCCCTCTTCCCGGTCGTGGGTTCAAAGACCATTCCCGGGTTCCACCACCGCCGCGTCTCAGTGGTGTCCTGATGGGCTCAGGGGCTGCTGGGACTTTCCAGCTTAAGGCCCTTTCCTACCCTGGTGTTCCCCGGGGGTGGCCAAACCTGCCCCTCCACAACCCCACCCCCAGGCCACTGAGGGGCTACAGGGGCGGCCACAGTCTCTGTCGTGGGAGCCTGCCTTGTCTCAGGCCAGAAAATGAGCCACAGGGACCTGGCTGCAGCATAGTGAATCAGAGCTGCTGGGTGTGGGGGGCCGGGGAGAGGGGTGGGCCTTGCCCTCAGCAGCCCCCATTTTCACTCTGACTCCTTCTTCTTCTCACTCTTCCTCCTCCTGTGGGCTCTACCTGGGGCCCTCCCAGCTCCTCACACCAGATGACTATCTAACTGTTTAGAAATCACAATCAGCGTTTCTCTTAGGATTGGCAGTCCCTCCAGTTCTACTGGGCCAGACCAGGTGGGCATAGGGTGCCCCTGCCCCAGCCCTTTTCGGGCGGGCTTCTGACCCCTTCCTGTTCGCTCTGCGGCTGAGTTCCTGCCCCAGGGAGGGAAACTTAGCCCAGCTCTGTGGGGATGGAGGTGCCCTGTGAGCACCATGGGAGGGCTGCTGAGCTGCGGAGTCTTGCTGTCTGAGGCCCGCCGTGATGGGCCACCCCAGGGCCGGCCTGAGCAGCCCACCTCCGAGGGCTCTGTGATGGGAATGTACAGGATCAGACCTTGCCCTTTCCTCCTGGCTGGCTCTGCCCTAGCCCCCGGTGCCCCGTGTGTGAGCACCCAGCTCACTCTCATTCCTCCCTCTCCAAAGCGTGGTCCCTGGCAGCAGACAACGGACCCCCCAGCTGCGCCTGAGTCCTCTGTGTGGTCTAGCTGTGTGTGCTGAGGAGGCTCTTGGCCACCATTTCCCCCTCTGTAAACGAGCCGGATACCTGTGGCATGGAGGCCGGGCCCCGAGCACTGGAGCAGGGCCCTGAGTGAGCGCGGACGGGGAAGCAGGGGTGTCCTCTGCTTTATGCACCTTGGGGATGGCAGCAGCCTCCCTGTGTGGGTTGACAAGGCACGGCTTCCCCATCCCGCCTCTGTCCCAGCCCTGCAGGCTCAGTCCTTGGGGGCTTAGGAGGGAAGAAGTCCTGGCTGTGTGACCTCGGACTGGTGCCTGGCCCTCGCTGGCCGAGTTCCCGGGAAAGGCAGCAGTGTTGGAACTCCGGATTCATTCCTCAGGGTTGAGGCGCTGTCTGGAAGCCATGGGGCAAGGTGAAGGACGGGAGAGCAGAGGTTTGGAGTTGCGGTTTCAGCAGAGGGAGCAGCAGCGTGAGGGGCCGCCTGTGTGTAGAGGAAAGGGAGTGAGGCCAGGAGTGAGGACTGAGTCTGGGTGCCCCCGGGATGGCGCTGCCTCTCCTCCCACATCCACCTGGCCCGGGATCGGGAGAAGAAAGGCCAAGAGACAGAGGAAAGACTGAGTTGGGGCCACACATGTCCTTCCCGGACCTGGCATGCCACTGTCTGGCCCTCATGCGGTGGAAGTTGGGGAAAGGAGATTCCCTCCCACCCTCTGTGCCCTGCCCCGGGTCTCCTGGCCTCCTGTGGTCCTAAGTTCAGTCTCTGTTAGCTCCCAACATCATTTCTAGGGTTGGTGGGAGGCAGCTGGGAATGGGCTAGGGTAGGTGGCGTGGGCTTGGGGGAGTCTGCTCAGCCTCCTGGGCCACCGCCCACAATAGCAGGAGCTTTTCTGGCACACTGACTGCACCACTCCCGCACTGCCAGCATCGGCCCCCCAGGAGTGTTTGCAGGAGGCCTTGGCATCGGGGGCGGCAGACCCCACCCAGAAGAAACACCTGGCAGGGCTTGCGGAGAAGGGCCCTCCACTTACCTGTCTGGAGAGCGTCTGTACTGCCCTGTGTGCTTCTACGCCCCAGGCTGGACACCCCGAGGCACACCCTCCACTTTAGCACCTTGACAAGAAGGGCGGGGACATTGGGATCAGGCCCAGCCCTCTGGCCCCACACCCTACCGCCCCAGCTGGAGGGTGAGGAGAGACTGGGCTTGGGTGTGGGAATCAGGGGTGTAAAGGGGCCTGCTCACCCCTCAGCTTGGCTCAGAGGGTCGAGGGGTCAACGGCTCAGCCTGCCCCTTAAGGAAGGAGCCCGGGCCCAGCCACACTCACCAGGACAAGGGCAAGTGTAAGGAGCAGGAGGCCCAGGATCAGGAGAGCCACGGCATAGCCAGGAAGCAAGTGTCCAGCAGTCGAGGCTGCGGGGCTAGGGGTGCCTGCAGCAGAGCAAGAAGGCCATGGCCAGGCGGGGCCCTGCCTCCCAGGCTTCTGAGAAGGCAGAGTCTGGACCCAGAAGGTGCTGCGGGACCAGACAGCTGGGGCTAGGGGCAGCTTGGAGGGCTCCATGAGGAGGGGAGGCAGGCTTCAGATCAGGGCATTCGGAGGCAGCGAGTCCGAGGGAGGAGGCCGATGGACAGAGGTAGGGGGCCTGCAGAGGGAAGGAGGTACTGACCAAAGTCTGGAATGACCATCTCTGCCAAGAGGCCCTCTGCCTCCCACAGGGTGTGCAGACCCTGGCGCACGTGGTCCCACACGAGGGCCTGGGCTGGTGCCTCCCTGAAGAAGGTGGCTCCCATTCTGGCAGTCAGTGGGTCCAGCCTGGTGGGTGGGTCATTGCAGACTTCAGGGTCCTGGACAGCCTGGGGGGCTAGGGGAGGTCATCTCTTCCAGCCTCCTGCCCTCCACCCCAGAACCCAGGTCTGAGCTCTGGGTCACCCAGGGCCACCTCAGACCCACCGGAACTCCTCCACCACCACTTGGTCAAAGTTCTGCAGAGGTCTGAGGACGAGGGTCAGCTGGGGGGTCAGGAGAGGATGAAGAGGGTCACAGCTGTACTAAAGCCTTGTGCAGTCATCCCCATCCCCCCGGGGCCTCTTCCCCAGCCCCCTTCATCCCAGCACTTCACCCATCTGCTCAGCTGCCCCTGAAGTGCCCAGAACTCAGGGCTGGCTCTGTCCTCCAAGGCCTTGGTGTGGGGCTGGCCCAGGATCTGCAGCCACACTTCAGACAGCACCAGCTCTGCCTTCTCCCCTAGAACCACAGGGGTGGAGGCGGCATCAGCCTGTGCCCCTCTGCTGGAAGCCCTGCCGTGGGACCCACACCCAAGCGTTCGTGTTCCGTCCAGGGGCCAGCTGCGGTTGATCTAAGGGCCACACTCCTTGCTGCCTGTTTTTGTGTGGCCCATGAGCTAAGAATGGCTTTCACATGTTTAAATGGTTGAAAACATGGAAAGTAGAATAATATTTTGTGACACATGAGAAGTACGTGATATGCAAACTTCCAGGTCTGTAAAAGAAGATTTTCAGGAATGTGGCTGTGCTCATTTGCTGACATGTTACCTGGGGCTGCTTTCTTGCTTCAGGGCAGGGTGTGAGTAGGTGGTGACGGACACCCACTGGCCTGCAGAGCCTGACAGAGCTCCCATCTGGCCCTCTACAGAAACGTTTGCTGCCTCCTGCACTAATCCATCCAGTGGAATACACTGCTCACCCCGAGACCTGATGCTAGGAGGAAATGTTGCTGATAATTTAACATTTGCTGTTTTTATGTTTTGTTTTGTCCCTGCTCTGGTGGGAGACATGTAAGAAATTTCACTCCCAGGGAGGAGGTCACGGTGCTTATGGCCAAAGCCCTCTTGACGAGGACATGTGGGGAGCTCTACCATCTGCTAAGAGGGTTGTGATGGGCGCTCTGTGTTGGGGAGTGAAGAGAGAACGCTGCCAGTCCGCTGGGAGCTGGCTCCCTGGGGAGCAGAAGAGATGGTGGTTAGGGCCTGCAGAGGTGGAGGCCCAAACTAGTCTGGTCTCTGGAGCTGCTGGCGTGGAGAATAGCTGTGTAGGAGTGGGTGCAAGGGCAGAGCCCGAAGGGGGCACCCCTGACTGCACCCCAGAAGGCTGCGGGGTGGGGGGACCGCACTGTAGGAGGACGAGCACCGTCTGTGGCTGAGGGGTCCTTGGAGAGCAGCCCAGGGCTGTGTGTAGCTGGAGACACTGTCCGGACACAGCACTCTCCTGATGTGATGTGGAGCGGTTTTCTCTGTTTGGACGGCACAAGCTTGCAGAAGTTGTCCCATCAGGAGGCCCCAAGAAGAGATATGGCTTCCCGTATCCCCAGCACTGGGACAGAGTTGAGTGCCTTGGCCCCTGACTCGGTGGGACAGATCTTGTCACGCATGTGAGGACTCATTGAGGTCCTGGGCAATCGGAGGTGGCTGGACCCCCTCGTCCCGCTGATCCTGGCTGCCTCTTGCCTCTAACTAGCTCCTTGCTAAAGCTCTATGCCCTCTTCCTCTCTGTAACCCCAACACATGAGCAAGTATTGTCTGAAGGAAATTCTGCCCATTCTCTAGAAGGGGAACAGTGAGGGAAGAGCCTGCTGGCCCAAAGACACACAGGGGTCGCAGCCCCGACTCACCATTGGCCACGATGCTGGATTTCTGGAGAATGGGGTCTCTTATGTTTTGGGCCAAGTAATTAGCCAGGCCTTGGAGGTGGGTAGGGACGGGGGTCTGGAACTTGTATTCGATATACACGCCCACCCACTGGTCCGCATTGCTGGAGAAGCACAACGGGAGAGTGCGGGGTCACAAGCTCTTTCCCGTACTTTTCTAGTAGCAGGTAGAGTGTCCCCACCGTGCACCCCTCCAGCGTTCGGGCTCCCTGCCTGGTAGGCAGAGCCAGCTTACACGGCCAAGCTGCAGCTGCCTGGGACAAAGTCCTTTCCCAGGTAGTCCAAACCTACATCCCTACATCCTGGTTCTGGGACAGAGCTGCCTCCATATGCCCCAGGGCAGCCCCCAAGAGAGCAGCAGGGCTGGCTGGGGATGGGAGGGCGATCTCACACACCTGAAGAGGAGCAGGGGCCTCTCCTGGGGACTCGCCTTGTAGAATCCTGACACCACTGGCGTGACCTGTGGGGAAGCCTGGAGGTCGGGGCAGGCCCGGGAGCCGTCTCTCCTGAGACACAGTGTGGGGAGGGGACCAGGTGAGGCAGGAGGCAGGACCTGGGAGGGAGCACACCCTGAAACACGTGTCCTGGGTGGGGGCATCTGTTTACAGAGCCTGGCTGTGTTCCCACTCAGACAGAGTCACTTCCTCCTTCAGACCACCCTCTCCCCCAGGGCAGGGCATGGCACAGTGCCCTCCACGCCTGCCTTCCCCCACAGTGCCACAGCTGGGTGCTGCCTGCATGCTGGGAGGTCTGCTTCCATAGTGAGCGTTTTGGGGCCCAGAAGGGGTAGAACAGGCCACCTCACCTGTTGGAGGATCTGACCTTCCAGCAGGACAAAGGGGATAGAGCCACATACGAGGAGCTGCGGCAGGAAGGGCTTCATGGCTGTGAAGCGGATACTGATGGTCTCCCGGGCCAGGGTGATCAGGTCAGCCCCTGTAGAGCCGTGGGTGGGAGTTCTGGAGGCGCCAGGACCCTCCTCACCCCCTGCACCGCCAGCTGCTTCAGGGTCAGGGCAGAAGCTGAATCCCTCTAGGGAGTCTACCCAGTCCCACCCCGGCCCTGGGCAGGTGAAAAGGCACTTCGGTAGGGGCTGGGGATGGGACTCACCATCAGAGGTGAGGCTGTTCTCAGCCAGTGACAGCTTCCCCAGCATCTGCCCTGAGCTCTTCACTTTGCGATACAAAGCCCAGAGGACTTCACAGGGAGAAGGGCCTGGGGCATGGCCCCCAAATACAAGGGAGGCATTCACGGCTACAGAGCCGGGCCTGTGGGGGCAGAGCCACATCCTCAGCCAGGGCCAGTGGGGGCATGATGGGTCATGTGCGCCCAGTGGGGGCCTGGGAGCTGGGCAGAGTTGGCATCCCAAGGGAGCAAAGTCCACAGGGGAAGCCATGGGCCACGCAGAGAAAAGCCTCCCTGTGTGACTCCAGGCAGGTCGCCCCACCCCTCTGGGCCTTGGCTGGCTCCTTGGTACAAGGGGACTAATGATCCCTTTTCCAGCCACTCAATGAAACTGAGTTCCCTTGAACACCCCAGCAAGCTGGCTGTCATGGGAATACCATGAATCCCGTCCAGGGAAAGCCCAGGGCAGGTTACCCAGCCAGGCAGCAGCTGGCTGTGAGCTCTCAGGACGCTAATCTGGGTCACACTGCGAAAAAGAACTTTGGTTACATCACAAGGAGCTCTGGAGAGACGGAGGTGAGAGGCCTGAAGAATCTCTGAAAGCCAGTGGGAGATGGACTAATTGCCCATGTCCTGAGGAGGTAGCCTGGCCTCAGCAGGGCACTGAAGAAGCTTTTGGGGAGACGCCAGGAAACAAGAGTCCAGAATAACTTTTGTCCTTCCTGTGAGCACTTATGTGCTGTGCGTCTTGAAGTTGGGGAGAGAAAACTTCTCTTCTGGCCCAGGACAGGGACGTCATAGAAGAAAGCTTCAGTTTTTAAAAGGGAAAACTGTCTGAGCAGCTCTGGAGTATGGCCTGGACAGAGAGTGAGCTTCCTGTCCCTGGATGCATTCGAGCCTTTAAACTACTTGCAGGATTCAAAGTTCACACAGCTCACAACTCAAGTGGGTCTGCAGTGATTCGGACCTTTTCAGCCTTCCTCATGCCATTGCAGGGCTCCTCTCCAATGTCTCCCCCAGCATCCTCTTCCCCCAGAGGCTCAGAGTCGAGGGCCCAGCCCAAGGGATTTGTATTCCTTTGCATATCATTTACATGCCTGCTGCCATTGTTGTCCCTGCCTTCCCCACTGCACTCCGACAATGCCGGGCATTCCTGCTCAAATCCTGCAGCTGGAATCAGGGCTCAGGGTAGGTCAAGGGCATCTGAGGTCGTACAGCACAGCCAGTGGCAGAATCAGAAGTGGGCCTCCTCCCTGCCTGTCCATGGCTCGTCTTGCCTGTCCCCTGGGATGCTCCTGATCAGGAGGTGGAAGGGGCAGGGCTAGGCACCTGGGACAGTGCCCTCGTGGCTGAGAAGGGTCAGAGCAGCTGGTGGGTGAGGGGTGGGCCCTGACAGCCACGTGCACTCACCTGAAGACCAGGACACCGATGCGCTGGAAGCTGGGGAAGGCCTCCTGGTAGAGGGACTGGAGCTGAGAACAGGCAGAGGCATGGAAGGCCGGCACGTGCCATCAACTGCCACCTTCCCTCCTACCCTATCCCGCCCCCACACTGCACCCCACCGCCTACCCTCGTCCACCCTCAATCCTTTCTTCGTGGCCCCTCACGGACCACCTGGAATTCCCTGGCCCTGCCCAAGCTGCTCCTCACACAGCAGCCAGAGATACCCTGCCAATCACCCTCTGCTGAAAGTCTCAAGGTCTGTCTGGGCGCCGAGGCTCATGCCTGGAATCCCAGCACTCTGGGAAGCTGAGGCAGGAAGATTGCTGAGCCCAGGAGTTCAAGGCCAGCCTGGACAACATGGTAAAACCCCTTTTCTACCAAGAATACAAAAATTAGCCGGGCATGGTGGTGTGTGCTTATAATCCCAGCTACTCAGGAAGCCAAGGGGGGAGGATGGTTTGAGCCCAGGAGACAGAGGCTGCAGCTAACACCCAGCCTTCCTAGGTTTTTCTCTCTCTGCTGTTTTCTTGACAATTGCTCTCCAATGCAGTCATTCTCAGCTCTCCAATGCCGTCATTGGACAGCTGCCACGCTGGTCTGCCATCCAGACCTCTCACCTGGACTACTGCCCTGCTCCTAACAGGCCTCCCCCTCTCCCTCTCCCACCCCTGTTCCAAATCCTTCTCCTTCCAGCCCCTCTCCCCTGTGTCCCTCCGCCTCTGCTGCCTCCGACCACCTATTCACCTCAGGGTCCTCACAGGTGCTGTTCTCTGCCTAGAAAGCCCCTCTGTGTTTCATCTGGCCACCTTCTGTGTTCCAGTTTAAATTTCTAGTTCTCAGAGAGGTGTTGTCTGGGCAGCCCCTCTCCCCAGCAGCCCCTTCTTGCTATCTATCCTGTCTGCACTTCCCCTTTCCATAGCATATCTCAACTACAGTGACATCTGGATTTGTTTGATCACTCATTGTAGGGCTGTCCCCTCCTCCAGACTGCGGGCTCCCTGAGGGCAGGGGCCTTGCTTGCTTTTGCTTACCAGCGTGCTCCTGGCACTTAGCACCATAACTGCTATAGTAGGTGCTCAGTTAGTGGTAGGAAGAAATGAGTTGAATAAATGAGGGAATGAACCAATAAACTAATGGAGAGAGCCTCAGAGTTCCCCCTGGATGACAGGCAAGAAATGGCACTTGCTGGCTAGTGCACTCATGGTTCCAGAATCGAGGTGGAAGTGGCTTTGGTTGGAACTGCAGGAACTCTGCCTCACTTTGCCTCACTGGTCACCTGCGGGCCAGAGGAGGGGCCCTCACCTGGTGGCTGATGCTTTTGTGCAGCAGCTGGTGCTTCTGGGAGGCAGGGTTCAAGAGCGCAGCTGAGAAGTCTTCATTGGTGATTGCAAAGGTCACGGAGCGGGTCACGTGACTGGGTCTTGGGGCGGAGGAGACTGAGTCCTGCCATGAGAAGGTCTGGCTGTGGTGAGGCAGGGCAGAAGACTGGATGAGGTCAGCACCCCCAGGGACCCCTAGGGAGCCAGGGCTGGGCAGGGCAGAGGGAAGGCTGGAGGAACATCTGAGAGGGAGGGTAGCTGTGGGGGCTGGGCTGGCAGGGACCCCTGGCCCAGGCTGGATTGTCCTCTGCAGAGTGGCTGGCTCTGTGACTGTCGGGAGTGGTGGGGTGGGTGGGAGGCTGGAGGTATCAGTGGGAGAATCTGTGCTTGTGCGTGGGAACACAGACACAGAAGGATCTACAGAGGTCTCAGCTCTGGTACTTACAGGGGAAAACGGGGCCAGGACTAGGGATAGGGAGGCAGTTGATGACTGAAATGGCAGTTGTGGTGGGGACAGTGACAGTGACAAAGATGGAACAGTGGGTAGTGGGGATGAGGGTGGGGCCAACACAGGTGAGAGGCATGGAGAGGACAGTGATGACTGTGAAGGCGGTGCTGCTAGGCTGATGGCAATGTCAAAGAAACGCTGGGCTCCGGGCCCTGGCTGGAAACCACAGCCTCTCCATGTGACCCTGAGCCCCCTGTGAGGACTGGGGAGGTCACGGCCAATGCTGACCACCCTGGAGCTACAGGGGTAAGAGGCTCTGTGACTGCCATCGTGTTAACGATTGACGCAAACACAAGTGGGCCAGGGGGTTCTGAGGACATAGCCTCCCCCGAGGCCCCTGGAACCAATGTCAGCGATGGGGAGGCTTCCGGGCCAAAGCTGCTGGCCCCTGATGGCATCCAGCCACGGGGACTGAAGGTGTGCCTGCTGATGAGCCAGGGCAGCTGCGGTGGGGATCCAGATATGGGTGCAGGAGTGGTAGGGGCAGAGGATGTTCCAGCTGGCTGCTGGGTTGGCCTAGGGGTGCCAGGTGTCCTCAGGGTTGCAGGGGCAGGAGTATGGGTTGTCACAGACAACCCAGGGGCCCCACTGGACTTTTGCCCAGACCTGCGGTGCTTTGGGCCAGGAGAAGCTGGTGGTAGGAATGTGGCAGCAATCTCTGGAGATCCAGGGACCACCATCTCCTCTGCAGGTCCAGCCGCAGGTCCAGCCACTGAGGATGCTGGCTGGGACTCGGTGGTTCTGTGGACTGTAGGCCAGGCTGGTACTGAAGGGGCTGGTCCAGATGGGGCCCTGCCTGAGACCCAGCACTTCCTGAAGGGACTGGTTGATCCGAGGGGGCATCCGAAGACAAGGCAGCAGGGGCTTCCTGGTCCCCAGTCACTTTGGGAGAGAGGGCTTTTGCCCTTGTGCTGGGAGCCTCCTCTTTCCTCTCCACTGAGAGAGGCTCCATCAGCCATGGCTGGCAGGAGGTTCAGTGACAGGAGTGTCTTCTCACTGCTGCCTTCCAAAGCAGATGTGCCAGGGGCTGAGGGGGGCCAGCCGGGGTCTTTGTCAGTAGAAGGAAGGATCAGAGCGGAGGCTGAGACCATCCAGAGAGCTGCCAACAGGAGACGCCAGTTCTGCCTGGCACCAAGGGAGCTGGGGGTGGGACTGCCCACAGCCTCTCAGATGCCACACACTCCCTGCTGCCTCCCTCGTTTCGGGGGGGCGTGCAGAGATCCAAACCCTGGCCCAGCTCTGGCCCCAAACCACTGAGCTACCCCAGGTAAGCGCACTGATCCTAACCCACCAGAGCTGAGGGAAGCAGGAGGGAACCTGACACTCCTCAAGGACCCTCTGTGCCTCCCACCCCAACTCCACCCCATTGCAGGGCCTTCCCCCAGGGCCTCAAGAGCTCCCCAGGGGGATGCTGTCTCCAGGCTGGGGCCCTGGACTGTTCTGTTCCAATGACACGTGAGGTCCAGGCCAGCCTGAGGGTGCTGGGACATGCTGCCCAGTCTTCAGCATAAATAAGGCTATTGCCTTAGCACATCCTCAGAGCACAGAAGGCTGAAGGCCGGACCTAAAGGTATGTTGGGGGAGGGTGGGGAGCATCTCTGAAAGCCTTGGGGGCTAATTCAACACCTACCTACAAGGGTACACTGAGACCCATGCAGGATCTGCTCTGTGCCAGGCTCCCCACAGCTGGTCACGCTGAGTGCCATCTGGGAGCTCCAAGCCTGGGGGACTGAGGAGTGGACCCTGGCCCCATCTTGGTAT